ATGTGTAACATTATAAAAATAGTAATAAATTAGTATCACCTGATCACAATTTATATTAGCCAATCATATGTTAATAAATTTCATATTTATTTCAAAAACTGTTGCCAAATCATAGAAGTAATAATATTTTCTGCATTTTCACAAATTCCTACAATTTTATAACTATGAGTCAATACTAAAGATTCAGAATGAACTCTTTAAAGATCAATAATTTGAATAATAATTTTTTTATCAATTAAAGAATTTAGTAAATAAAGATACATTTTTTTAGACGTAATCTTGTTTGAAAACGATTTGAGAAATATTCTGATACTTGCATAAGGTTTTTTTAGTTATATTATTATTCTTATTTTCATATTACACATCTACTATATCATCACGAGTTATGTAATATATGTTATTACTTTGAATTACCGCATGTTGTAATAATACTTTTACAATTCTAACAAGCTGTAATGCCTCTGCTGTTACATTATAAAGATCTAGTTTATCTTTTTCTCGTTCCTTACAATTATCACAATTGTGATATAATCATTAGATCATCAGGCCAAAGAAAAAAATGGTACGCTAATTGTTGATGGCATTTATATACTGTTTCTGCAAATAATACCATTGTTATAACTTTTTCTTTTTTTTATCCATTGTAGCATTTAGATGAATATTGTAATGCTATAAAATTAGAAAGACTAATAAAATAGATTAGTAAATATTATATATTATAATATTATAGATATTATGTTAATATTTAACTTTCTTACCTATTACTCAAAATTGTTAATAATGTACAGATATCACTTCGTGAATAAAATAATATTGCTCTAGATTGTTGTCTAAATCGTCCAGCCTGACCAATTTCTTGTATATATTGATCATAAGACATTGGTAAAGTTGTATGAATTATTAAAGTAACATCATTTATATTTATACCCATACCAAAAGCTGAAGTTGCGAATATTATCTTGATAATTTTATTCTTCTAATTTGCAGATATAATAAATTGTTCTTTACTTGTAAGTTTTTCATGATACATTCCTATAATAGCTGGGTCAAAATTTTTTTTGAAGTTCTTTCATTATATCATTACATTTTATAACTGTAGCCCCATAAATAATTGCACGTCCTTCAAGATTATCTAATAAATCAAATATTATTTGATAAAATTTATTTTTTGCGATTAGTTTAGGTTTAATTTCTAATGTAATTTCTGGATGATGAATAATTGAAGTTCTAATAACTTTCATATTAGGCCTTTCTAAAATTGATTGTATAATTTCTACATCAACAGACGAATATGTTGCAGTTAAAGCTAAAACAGAAACTATCAGAAAGTCACATTTTAAAGTTCCCAATTTTTTCTATGCGTTCCTATTAGAAATTTATAAATTACAATTTTTTTTTTTAATTTCTTATAATTTTGTTACTTACCAAAATCCTTCATAAGAAACTATGCAATGTACTTCATCTATAACAAACTGGAAGCCTTAACTATTATAAATCTTTTGTAACATAATACGAAATTGAAAATTTTCTATATATTTTTCTGAGGTAACAAATAATATGCGACATAATCCGCTTGCAATTTCAGCATAAATTTTTTCTTGTATTAGAAATGATTATTCTGAAGAAGCATATAACATTGCCACCAGTATTCTCATTCCTATCATTTCTCACTTTTTTAAATTTTTAAAAAAAAAATCAATAAAATAATCATATTTAATTTATTATTAAAAATAAATTATAACTTACTACTTGATCATCCATCAATGCTTTTTGAGGAGTAAATATTACAGTTAATCCCTATGATAGTATACTTGCAATCGCATATATTAAACTCTTTCCCCTACTAGTCTTTAATATAGTTAATATGTCTTAATTGGATAAAAAAGATAATATACTTTCACATTACTTTTCACAATATCTTTCAAATCTAAAAAATTCAGTGATAATACTGTCTATTATTCTATCTTTTAAAATTGATTTAGAAGTTAATTGTTCATGATATTGCGTATTTGGTATATAGTCAGACAAATTATGTTTTTTTAAATAACTACATAATGCGCATAATCCATTGACATATTTTTTTTAAAAAGATCAACAAGCTATACATTTGAGAGATAATGATTTGAATGCAACTATTAATGGAATAAAAGATGGTTCAAATTTATTTTCAATAAGCTCTCTTAAATCCGCAAACCATATAGAACTAAATTCTATATACAGTAGCAGTTATAAGTATCCGACCGCCTCTAACTCCAACTACAAATAAGTAAATTCAAAATTTTTTTTTTATTTAAAAAATACATAACCAACTAACTAAAATTAATACATTGTATAGTCACT